ACATCAGATTAGTCCGTGCACATGGACAACAGCACCTTCTTTCAATCTTTTAGTTCAGGTGCTACATATCCATTTAGCACTTTAATCATTCCTAAGGTACTCTGGTCAGGGATACGCCGCAGCATATCCCTTAGGTTAGCAGTGGATCTAGATCCTCCGGCTATCCGAGTTTGGGTGGTTAATAGATTTAATTCTTGTTGTTTTTAATGATTAAAACAATATATCAGAAGGAATTAAGATCTATAGACCAAAGGAAGATGTTAGTTTGCTTTCCATTTTTCAGAACTGTATAATAATTATGAGGATAATTATTTCCTATTTTTAGAGGGAGATAGGTTTGGAGCAAAGAAACCCATCAACTCAGGAAACCAAAATGGTGTGAGGAGCCTGAGCCTAGTGCTAAAAACCCAAATCTCCGAAACAGGTTCATAATTCTTTTAAAATGAAAACACAAAACAGTCAATCTTCCTCCCACAACTCATTTAACTCGTCTACAATCTTTTTTGACTCTAGCACATCTGATTCACTGTAGTCTCTGATGTACAGTTTGTAACAGTTAGATGCCCATCTACCTAAAATACAAATTTCTTCGACAGGAGTGCCTAGGGCAAATCGGAGTGAGGCACCACCAACTCTGAACGAATGACCTAGAAGTCCGTCGAAACCTCCGGAACGTAAAACCAATTGGATCCTATTGACTGCGATTGCTCGAGTTAAGTGTTTCCTCGTGCCTTCGCTGTAGAAACCAAAAAGTGAAGTTTCTTTGCCTTCGGCTTCTTCTAATCGTCGTTTAATTGCCAAAACCGGACAAAGCATATTTTTCAGGCTATGTAAAATGATCTGTTGGGGGTTCCCTGGCGTGGCCGTTTTCGCATTGCGAACTGATAAAATCGCCTTTTCTCCTATGGCCGACTTTATTATTCGAACATCCGTTGTTAATAAGGAGAGCTGAGCGTTTAGCGTTCCAAAAGGTTTTGCGTATGTTAATTCTCCAACCCTCGCCATCCCCCAGAAAGCGACAATCGAGAGATCCATTATCGCCTTATCTACTTTCCCCCCTGGGAATAAAACGTTTGACAACCATATGAGGTGTTTTAACATAATAGCCGGCTTCTTTGGTTTTAAAGGTCTAGTTGCATCAATTTTTGCTGATGCCTTCAATAGGAGTTCGATTCTCTTGTCCGCTATTTCTGGATAAAGGGTATCGTGAAACGTGTGCCAAGCTTTGATGCCGCACAAGTACTTCTTAATAGAACTAGCCGAAATTTTGTAGGAGTTGTTTAAGTATAAATTTCTACCAGCCCAAAAACAAAAGTCTTTGATATCTTTACTCGTTGCCGGTAATACAAAGTCGTGTTGTCCTGATAGATTTTTGAAGAATATGAACTTTTTAACAGCCGCGTTATAACCAATCAGAGTATTCCATTTCCAGCCGGATAATAAATGCGCATTTAGAGCTGAGACTGGGTAATGTGACGTTCCTTTAGAAATGAAAGCCTTTATTTTATTTAAATGGGCCACAGTTAAACATTCTAAATTAACTATATCAAAGATTTCTGTCATTATAAACTGATTATGTCTCCGTTATTTTGAAGATTGAATAAAGTCTCTAGACAACAACAGGTAAAAACGTTTCACAGACCATTATTTAAGGTAATAAACAAATTATAAGTGAAAGGGGATACAGGCAACTTATGCATGGGTCAACCAACCTTCCCACTCTACTGGTAACGGAAAATGGACCCTGTTTTCTGTTTTCAGATTGCCCACAAACCCTCGCGACAAAGCGTCAGCGATATTATTCTTCGATGTCACTCGACGACCCGTTATATCGAACTCGTTCTTAATTAGTTCTTGCTGTTTCCACTTCCATTCCTCGTTCACTTCTGTATCTTTAGATTTTCTCTTCTCTAATACTGATTCAGTTGTGGTGTTATCTGTCCAAACAATTACGTTGGACCCTTCCCGTTGCCTCCTCAAATTAATCAGCATGAGTAAACCAACTCTGATTGCTACGGTTTCCAACCAAGCGATCGCTCGATTGTTGTCAAGGTTCCACCACTTGTGTTGCAACCGCAACTGAGACCAGTACTTCCCAATTAGGACTCCTACTCCAAAACTTGAAGACGCGTCCCCTATCCACCCTATCTCTTTTGGGTTTGACGACATGATCAGACGGGTTGGTTGAAAAGAATCTAGGATCGATGACCACTGTTCCAAATCTGCTAGTACGTCTTCCGGTGTTTTTCTCTTCGCATTTAAATCGAACCAGTCAAGCATCCACCTGTATAGACCTCTTAGATAACATTTCAATTGTGGTAAAATGTATGATACGTGATTCAGTCTCCCTGTAAGTATTTCTACTTCATTGAACGAAAAGGATCTGGTTTTGTCTTGAAATTCTTTGATTTGCAGTTTCTGCTGTTCCAGTTTCTGATCCGGTAATTTTACTGTTTTCTCCTTGCCGTTCCACACAAAGCCGATGAATTTCTGTTCGTCCGAAAAGGAAGAACATTTCTTTTCATTTGTCAGGACCCCCAGGTCTATTGACCTAGCTATAATTTGATTCATGTCTGTCTTCAAAGATATTTCTTTGACGAATAGATTATCATCGACCCATCTAAAAACCTTGATGAGATCGAATTCTTTTTCCATGATACATTTCCAGGCATCTGCTGGCCGTCCGAAAGAACCACAGCCGGCGACTCCTCCAAAAGTTATTCGTGTGTCCAAATACAACAGATTATCGAGACCCTTCACCATCAGATATCTCCATTGTGAGGGGTGAGTGGGTATCTGCCTGTAAGCCTTTTCCCAGTCAAACAAAGCTAGTTTGACTGGTTTATCTAGTTCTTTGAAAAAAGAAGCCACTACATTGAAATCGTCCCATGTAGTTTTGAAGTCGTCTTTATCGACAAACGAGTTGACAGATGGGAAGTCGGGGTCGTGATGTGGAAAAGATAAATCATTGATTGGCCTCACGGACCCGTCTCCGTTTACCACCGCTCCTAGGGGACTTGAGCGGAAGAATCCCAAACGTGCGAACACTTCTTCATGTGTGAAAGGTCCGTACATCCTCTTAGCATCTATCTCTTTCTTCATTGACTCCCGGATCTTTTCCGCTGCTAATGACGATGACAAATGGTTATCTGGTGTGAACCACGATAGATTGCCTAAAAAGTGATCCGGGATTCCTTGATTGAATCCGTATTTAAAACCTTGAAGTACGTCTTTGAATTCTTTCAATAGGTTTGCGTTAGTTAGCGCCTCTTTCCACAGAGATAAATTCATCTCGCAAGATACTCCTCTTGGCCAACTGAACACACCAAATGTGTTAATTTCGCCGTAAGTGGATTGCGGCAGCAAGAAGAAGACAAATGTTCACGTGAAGAAGAAAAGGACAAACAAGTGGAAAGAAGTGGTGAAAGAGACAAACAAGAAAGAAAGAGAGACATAGGAATCAATAAAGGAAAATAATTATCAAGTACACCTCGGTGACATTAAAGCGCGAACAGCGATATACACTTGCTAAAAGGGCTTATCAATCATGTAAACAAGACTATAGAAGTCACCTACTTCGTGTTTCCACCTCCTTTCTTTCCTTGACTGTTCTCAGCTCTCCCTTGAGGATTATCAGAGTAATTAGATCCTCGATATCCTCCTCTCGGTCTTTTCTTTCCGTCGGAGTTGCCGAAGTTGCCTTGATTATAATTATTGTTATAAGCCGAGCCTCCTTGGTTATAATGTGGACCACCATTATAACCCCTGCCTTGAATGTTATTATAACCGTTAAAATTGTTGGTGTTAGGTTGTCCGTAGAAGTGATTCCCCCCGTACTGCTGTTGCTGTTGCATGTAGGGGTTATGAATCATCTGATTGTTGCTAGGGAAGTGATTCGACTTTTGTTGCCTTAAGCAACCGGTGAGAGGGTTGTGGTTCGCATGTGAGTGGCCCGGAGCGTACAGGTTTTCCTCCCATTCCAATTCACCAAAATTGCGACATTGGTTATAGCATTGTTCGACGACGGATTCTTTCCGTTGCGATATGTCTGGTATGGCGTTTTTGACGTCTTCATCCGTGATCCGATGGGAGAAGGTGTTATTCCGAACCTCCATATCATATCTGAAGGCTACCATGAAGCCGAATTCTTCTGTGATATCGTCACCGTTGTTCTTGTGCGTACCCAAAAGCTTGGAGAACTCGATGATCTTGTAGACGTCATTCAGAGTCTTGCGGAACGAACGGTGGTTGCGGGTCCATTGCGCATAGGTCTGAGTCCATTCTTGGATGAAGGCAAAACCCTTATAACCACCTGATTTGTCTTTATCGTTTGATGACTCATCGGATCTTTGACGGCGGTCTAGGTGATGTGCCATCGCCCGCTGTTGCCATTTGCGGTTGAAGATTGTCAAAGGTAAGGGTGACCGTAACTTCCGGATGTTTTCATCAAGGAAAGGCGCAAACCCTACACTGTTATGATTTGTAACTGAGCCGATTGCGTAAACCAGGTCCCCTTCTGTTAGGAAGAACTTCTTGCCGGTGGCTGTCTCTGGGGCCACGCTAGGTAACAAGATCTGTGGCTGTGCCGCTTGGTAGGTCACGCCTGCTGGGCCGTGGAACCTCGGCACCGCGAAGGTTTCGTTGGGAATGGCGCGAGGTGTGATGTTCGCAGTGTTCCGTTGGGCTGTCATCGAGCCAATCGCTCGGAATAACATTTCTGCTAAAGCTGCGTCGCCGGCGTCTTGCGCTTCGGTCGCTCTATTCCACATTTCTTGTCTCTCATTCATGAATGAAGAGGAGACGACCGCTAATGATGGCGATTGGAATCAATCTCTGGGCTCATCTTTCATCAAGACATCGTGACTAAAGTGCTTACCCGGGGATCTATCCGCTTCGGGGTCTTCCACGGTAAGGTCATGGATTTGGCCGGTGCGTCTAAAGACTGCAGGTCCGTTCATTGCCGAGAAGGCTTGGTCTTTGCGTACGTCGCTATTATCCACGTCTAAGGAAAAGGGTATGTTCATTGCCGCAGGGGCTCTGTCTCTGCGTGCATCGCTTATGTCTGTGATATGGGAGTATACGGTCTTGTTGATCCCTAAAGAATGCAACATAGTCATGTTTTTAGAAAATAGTCGCGTGCGACTTCTAATATGATGGAAATGCGTAAAAACTCGCTCGCAACTGCTGTTTACTTACTTTCTCCGTGGGGTTTATCTTTGGGAACCTCTAGTATACTGCCACTATGGGCTCGGACATTGCCATCTGAGGCTTGGGTTTCTGTGTTACCGGTGAGGGCTGTATTAGGTACAGTGTCCTCATTCGTCGTCCCCGCCTCCTTTTGTCCGATGCCGCCGGTGGGGATGAGAGCTTTCTTGATTGCTATTTCTTCTAACTTATCTCTGCCGCTGGTCGACTCTTTGATCTTCTTCGATGTAGCGCGGGTGATGTTTGTTTCGACCATGGTGTAGATTAGATGGGGGGTATTGTTGGTGGATGGTGGTGAGGTGCGTTTGTAACGAGTGCTTTAATAAGAAAGAAAAATAAGTGTTGGTAGAATGATTGTTTTCTTTGGGGAAAATTTGGTAAGAATGAAAAACTAAATCTGATGAGTTGAGTGAGTGGATGAGGGGAAAGATGAAAGCGGCGAAGGAGAATGGAGGTTTAAGTCTTCAATTCTCATTCCACGTTACAAGCGCTTGGGCCGCTATATTCCAGGGCTGACCTGGAATACTAGCCCTCTCAACAACATCAGATTAGTCCGTGCACATGGACAACAGCACCTTCCTCAATCTTTTAGTTCAGGTGCTACATAAGAAAATTCCCAATAACACAGATCAAAAAGGTAACTCTGCAACCTGTAACTTCTGTAAACAGCCAGGAAATTTTGTCAGAGATTTCCCAAAGAGAAGAGGAAGAATCAACAATGTGGAGAATGAGGAAAATAACCGTGAGGAACTAGATGACAAGGATGACAGGCACACTGTCAACAGTAATGACGAAGATTATCCTGATGATCAATTTGTTCTTGAAGTTCGCAATGATGGTCTGACAGATCCCTTGCATTGCTCATTCACAGGAGTTATTGAATGCTCACATGAGGATTTTATCTCCATTGCAGAGATTCAAGCTGAATCCCATTTGCCACAAGAGTGGGATAATAGTTGTACTGTTAGGAATGTAGAGGATGCTAGAATAGTCAGAAGTAAACCTGATAAAGGGAAAGCACATCTGAATAGGAAAACTAATATTACAAAAGTTATGATTTCTGGTAAAGAATACTCTTGTTTACTAGATGGTGGTGCCTCCTGTTCAATAATCAGTAACAAGATCTTGGATGAAATCAAATCAGACTGGAGAGAAGATCTAATGCCAATGACTAATTCTAGATTCCATAGTTTCAGTGATGCCATGGAACCAATGGGTATCATAGAATTATCTCTTGTATTCCCACATACTAAAGGTTCTATCAGAATTATGGCAGAGTTTGTAGTAATGAGCAACGCTAGAATTAAATACTTAATCCTAGGAAATGATTATCTGACGCTGTATGGCTTTGACATTAATAATAGCAAGGAGAGATTTTTTACCATAGGGAACGATAACAAAAAGAAAAAATTCAGCTTTAGCATTAACTACATTATGGCAGTACAAGAATTTCCCTCTGCAAAGGAAGAGCAAGAGGAAAAACCAGAAGACGTAGAATTTAATAAATTCATTGCCGATGATCTGAGTACGTCAAACGTGAATGAAAATTTGACTGTTGAGCAGAAGAATAAATTGTGCAAGAATTTATTTGACAACAAAGCTGCATTTGCCACAGTCGATCAACCTTTTGGAGCAATCATAGGGCATGAAGTGCACCTGAAACTGACAACTCAAAGGCCATATCCACCACTTCTTAGAAGAGCTCCATATCCTGCTAGTCCAAGAAGTAGAGAAGCTTTAGAAGAGCACATATCTGAGTTATTGAAACTAGGAGTCATCAGGAAAGTATGTCACAATGAAGTAGTTGAAATCACCACTCCAGTTATTATAGCATGGCATAACGGGAAGTCAAGAATGGTTGGAGACTTTAGGGCCTTGAATACTTATACAGAACCAGATAGATACCGCATACCAAGGATAGATGATACTCTGAATAACTTGGCAAAAGCTAAATTTATCACTCACTACTATGGATGTATTGAAAGGTTTCCATCAGAATATCATAGCTGAGGACTCTAGAAAATTTCTTAGAATTATACTGCACAAGGGAGTTTATGAATATCTTAGAATGCCTTTTGGAATAAAGAATGCCCCATCACA